TGGGAGCTCTTCACCCACCTTCATCCCCTCGGCTACTCATTTGTTGAATTCATTCATTCAACAGATCATGTCTGTGGGTCTAGTTTGGTTCTGGATTGGGGAACAGAAACGAAATAGTTTCCCTTTCTGTGGCTTTCTTCGGTGGCAAAGCTGGTCATGAACCATCAAACATCCAAACAAATGGAGCAACTCTCTTGGTGATCAGGACATAAATACGGAGGGGTAATAGGTGTCTCCAGGTGAAATGCTGTTTGAATTCCTAGGTCAGGTTGCCAGGGGGGCTTCTTCATAGAGGTGATAACTGGGCTGAGATTACGAGTTGGGAGAGAGGCACCTGTAGGTGAAGGAGCCAGGCTCATGATCTCCAGCACAACTGTTGTACTGAACTGTCCTCCGAGTCAAACAACTATCACCTTCAGGAGATCTGCTGTGACTACTTGCAAAAGATCATCACAGCTGGGCAAGCTGACTGTTGACCTTCCCTCATTGAAGGAGGGGCAGGGGAGGGTCATGGGATCCTCACCTGAGCATCCAGCCACTCCTTCCAACCTGTTGTGCACAATTCTGCCCTAATTGCATATGGCCTCTAGGAAAGACTAGAGTATATAGGCTGGGGAAGTCTAAGGGACGGGGCTCCATCTGCAGGACTTTGGAGAAGCTGTCATCTGTGCTGGGAAAAGGCTTTCTGGTGGACTTGGGGGAGAGCACCCACACTCCTGTAAGTAACCCCTCACCTATTGTTCTCTGTAAGTAAGCCTGGTAAACTCACTGGCCCCACAGGGTGAACTTTGATGGAATCATACTCAGACTGTGGTTGGGACCAAGGAAGGGGGTGGGCATTGTTCACATCTCCCCCAGGAAAGGAGTTTTAGCAACAAAAAACATGAAGGCTGGGAACCAGTGGGATTTAAAGAGCAAAGGGAACTGTCTTCCCAGGTTAGCTACAATGGAGGGGTGGGTCAGTTGGGGACCTTCCAGCTTGGTACTTGAGACTACCCCCATTGCTTCTTGCTGAAGCCAGTCTATAGCTTCCCAGGGGACACTGGGGACAAGCCCTTTATGGAGGCAGCCAGGCCCCTTCTCCCTGGGGAGGGGATTAACTCCTTGGTTGCTAAGTCAGACTGGGCATTCAAGCAAGCGATGATGTTTTTCCCCGGCCTCAAACAGCAGACAGCTGATTCCTCTCCAGTTTGGCTTCTGATTTTTAAATTTATTTTAATTTTATGTGTTTTGCTTGCTTATATGTAAGTGCGCATGTAATGTCCACAGAGACCAGAAGAGGTGTCTGGATTGCTGCAAATGGGTGTTAGCCACCACATGGGTGCTGGAAACTGAGCCTGGTTCCTCTGTAAGAGCACCCAGTGCTCTTAACCACTGAGCCATCTCTCCAACCCCTCGATTTTTTTTTTTTTCTAAATAAGGGAACAAACTTGTTTCTGGTCCAAGGGACCAAAAGGTCATAAAAAGACGTGCCCACCACAGTCTTAGCTCTTGAGGGTGGCTGGTTACAATAACACTCATATCCTGGTTTCTCCCTTTTGGGGTTGTGATGGACTAAGTTATTAGAAGATTCTGGTTTGAGAATAAAAATCATAGAAGCAGGGCAGGCAAGATGGCTCAGTGGGTAGAGATGCTTGCTGCCAAACCTAACAAGCTAAGTTTGACCCCTGGTAGACAGCCAACTCCCATGTTGTCTGAACTTCACATGTGCACATGCATACACACAGAAATATATAAATTTAAAAAACCACAGAAGCAAGAATGACCTCTCCTCCCATGCCGTCCTCTGAGTGGCGCCCATCATACCCTATGTGTTTTTCTTATTAGATTCTGGTAACCATGGTACCATAGTTAATAACTGTTGGTTTCTTGGGGGTGATTATGTCTTTGGACTTTAGGATCCTACTGACCCAGTTTCAAGTCCTGACTGCACCTCTTACTCATCTGTAACATTGACTAGGTTTATGTAACCTGTCTGAATCTCAGTGTTCTCATCTGAGAAGTGGACAACAGGCTGTCTCTCGTAGGGTTAGTGGAAATGTGTTAGTTTTACCATAGACTTATTCCTCCAAAGAGGGGGGACGAGCACTTGGCTGTTCTCCCCTCTTCTCCCCTGTATTTTAACAGCCTGTAGTGGTGCTGCCCACATTCAGGGTGGGTGTTGCTCATTCAGTTGATCCTCTCTTGTAAGGCCTCTCAGACACACTTGAAGGTGTGCTTCAATACCACCCAGGTGACTCCAAGCCCAGTCAGGCTAAGAGAAGCTTATCCATCCCCAGCTGCGACTGACAGCCCACATCCCACGCTGCTGATGCCCAGCATCACTAGTTGCTAAGAAAGGTCACTCTCACCATTGCTGGCTGTCACAGGACTCACATTAGCACTCATTATCATAGATTAGGCCCTCTTTCCAAATGAGGAAACTGAGGCACTGAGCAATAAAGTCACTCAGTCAATCTTTGCCTCTTCCCATTACTGACTGGACTTTACAGATCCAAATAATGGGGTTTTGCGTGTTTTCCAGGAGGTAAATGGAGAAGAAAACAGTCTTTTAGTCGCAGAGACTGCTTCTGAACCTTGGGTAGGCAAGGGGGACATTTACAGTATAGCCTCAACAGTGGAAAATTGTTCTGGGTGGTTCAAGAGGCTACCAGTCAGACCACATCTAAAATACAACTAGTTTCCTAAGTCTTTCCTTCCCTCCCGCCTTCCCTTCCGCCTTCCCTCCCTCCCTACCTCCCTCTCTTTCATCTTTTCTTAGAACTGAGAACTCAACCTAGGGCTATATGTTTGCCAGGCAAGTGCTGTTACCACTGAGTTAAGCCCTAATCCCCTCTTTCTTTAAAAATTTTATTTCAAATTCTCTCTCTCTCTCTCTCTCTCTCTCTCTCTCTCTCTCTCTCTCTCTCTCTCTCTCTCTCTCTCTCTCTCTCTCTCTCTCTCTCTCTCTCTCTCTCTCTCTCTCTCTCTCTCTCTCTCTCTCTCTCTCTCTCTCTCTCTCTGTGTGTGTGTGCGTGTGTGTGCGTGTGTGCATGTGTGTGTGTGTGTGTGTGTGTGTGTGTGTGTGTGTGTGAATGAATGCAGTTACCTAAAGGGGCCAGAAAAGGGTATCAGATCCCCTGGAGTTATAGGTGGTTGTGAGCTGCCTGAAGTAGATACTGGGAATTGAACTCAGATCCTCCACAAGAGCAGCAAATTCTACTGCTGAGCTGAATTAAAATAAATCCTTTAAAGAAAGAAAGAGGGGGCTGGGGTTTAACTCAGTGGTAAGAGCACTTTTGCTGCACACACACACACACACACACAAAAAAAAAACCTGTTGAGCTGTCTTTGTCTCTCCAGTCTCTGTCTCTGTCTCTTTGTTGGGGATTTTTCTTAAAGATCTCATTGCTTCACAGAGATGTTCTGGCACAATCACAGGTGGTGGGACAGCCGTGGACTAACCAGAAGAAAATTCCAAGGGAGGAAAGATTTGAGAGAGGAGCAAGGAGAGGGGTTTACTCTAGTTCATATGTGTAGGAGAGAGAAGCAGAATCCTGGGCTTCAGGCTACAGAAGGAACCCAGCATGCGCCTCCTGGAGATACTGTAGTAGCTGTGGAGGTAACAGTTCAGCAGTGCTGAGACACCTACTATGTGCTCCACGTCCAGAGCTGCTTATTTCCGTTCTTTCACCTCATCCTTAGAACACCCCAGCAAAAGAGACATTGATCTCCCACTTTGCAGCTGAGGAAACAGAAGCAAATGAGAAATTGAAGTCCCTGTCCCTTGAGCTCAGGATTCCAATTCGGGCTAGACCAGGCGGTTTCAAGAACTGGAGTTGTAGCTAAGTGGTAGTTCACTTGCCTAGCATGTGCAAGGTCCTAGGTTCAATCCCCAGCATAGTAAGGAAACCCCTATTGCCCACCACAAACAGATGGCAAAGCAGGCTAATGCTCATAACCCCAGGGAGACCCACCCTGAGGCAGCGGAGGGTGAGTGGCCAGTGCTAGGCTGACGCCCATGCGCTGGGCACTCTGGTCACCTGGATAAATTCTTGTCTCTGAACAGTCAACAAGCAGGAGGCTAGATCCTGGCTCTTACTCCTCTTCCACCACAAGTATTCGAGGGAGAAAGAAGCCTTTGAAGTCAGTGGCAACTGAGGAGGGTGAAGGTAGCGGAGCTCCATGGAAGAGATGAATGCAAGGTAAGCAATGGCAATCGGGGCAGTTTAATAAGCTGCTTTCCTCAGAGGGAGAAATCCTGCATCACTGACCCCAGGCTTTTTCCCCATCTCTCCTGACAAACTGAATGCCACAGGCTGGGGCCCCAGAGCTCTGGAAGGTGCATCTCACCCGACTATCCATTTTTCTCTTTAGAGTAGTCAGTGCTTTTCCTGGATCACTGGATCTCTGATGGTTTAAGTATGAAATGTCCCCACACCCTCCTGTGTTTGCATACTCAGCCGCCAGCTGGTGGCACTATTCTGGGAAGTTGTGGAGCCTTCAGGAGGTGGAGGCTCACTGGAGGAAGTGGATCTCTGGGGAGTGGGCCTTGAGATTTATTGTAGGGCCTGCTTCCTGTGTACTCTGCTTCCTGATCCACACAGATCTCCCATGGCCACGCCCCCCCAGTGCTTCTGCTGTCCTAGCGTCCTCATCACGAGGGACTGTGTGTCTTAAAACTATGAGCCAAAAACCCGCTATTCTTTCCATAAGGTGCTTCATGTTGGATATTTGGTCCCAGAAATGAGAAAAGTAAACAACATACTGCCCTTGATTAAAAAGATGAACCTTGGAAGGGGTGGTATGGCCATCCACTGTGTTCTGTTTCTGAATGTCTAGTGTCTTCAAACTGTTTTGATGGTTTCCTACAGAGATGTGAACTGTGACCTTTGAGCTGAAGCAGTAATTTCAGACCATCAGAGGGAAGATTCCAAGTTGCTTTCAGGATTCAAGACAGTGATTCCTGATTGCTGCCATCCTGTCTACATCCCTGTCTGCTTCTAGACACTAGAATCATCATGTCTCAGATTCAAGAGAATCCAAAGTGCAGAGCTGACCAAGGCGAGACCTGCAAGGAGACCCAGGGCCTTGAAGTTGCACAGATCTCCAAGGAAGTGGAAGAGTCACGGTCCATCCCTCCTCCTCTGGTACTTACCACCCCAAAAGGCGAGACCTGCAAGAAGACTGGGGGCCTTGAGGTTACATGGGTCTCTGAGGATGTGGAAGAGCCATGTTTTTCCCCTCATCCTCTTATGTCTAGCAGCCCAAAAGGCGAGACCTGCAAGGAGACCCAGGGCCTAGAGGTTGCACAAGTTTCTGGGAATGTAAAGGAGCCATCTTCCTCCTCTCATCCTTTGTTGCCTAGCAACCAGAAGGAAGATCCTATGGATGAGACACTCAGTACTTCTTGGGGTCCTGAGAGTTCTGTCTTTGCCATTGCTGCTGCAGCCTCATCTTTAAACCAATCTGGTGAGGGTCCCAATAGGCAACAAGTGCAAGGTATCCCACTTAACCTAGTGCAGGGTAGCCCATCTAACCTAGCAGAGGGTATTCCATTTAACCTATCACTTCTGCCAGTTATGCAGCATGCACCTGATGATCGTGTAGGTAAGAAAGTAGATTTCATGGTGAATTACATGCTCTGCAAGTATCAGATGAGAGAGTTAATGAGCAGGGAAGATATGATAAGAACTGTCATCAGAGAAGACAAGAGTCACTTCCACGAGATCCTCATGCGAGCAAATGACCGCATGGAGATGGTCTTTGGCCTAGAGGTGAGGGAAGTAGATCCTGTCAATCATTTCTATGGCCTCTTTATTAAATTAGGCCTCACCTATGATGGCATGCATAATCATGGATATTCCTTTCCCAAGACTGGTCTCCTAATACTTATCCTAGGTGTGGTCTTCATAAAGGGCAATCGTGCTACCGAAGAGGAGATATGGGGAGTGCTGAATCCAATGGGAATCACTGCTGGGGTACCGCATTTCCTCTTTGGGGATCCCAGACAGCTTGTAACTGAAGAGTTTGTGAGGGAGCACTACCTTGAATACCAGCCAGTGCCTGATAGCTTTCCTGTGAGGTATGAATATATGTGGGGCCCAAGAGCTCATGCTGAAACTAGCAAAATCAAAGTTTTAGAGTATTTGACCAAGGTTCATGGGGGACACCCCAGTGATTTCCAGTCTCAATATGAAGAGGCTCTGTTAGAAGAAGAGAGAGTACTTACTATGCTTTCAGAAAGAGCTACCTCCAGTTCAATGGCCTCCGAAAGCTCCTGTGACATGGCCAATAGGTTCCCCTCACCCTAGTACAGTCAGAGATAGACTGTTCCTGCATGGTTTTCAGAGTTTTCAGTTGAAAAGGTATAGGCCGTGGGTTGATCCAGAGAGAAGAGTAGCTATGTAGTGTGCTATTTTGTATTTATACCGTGCTATTTTTTCTTTTCTTGTTTGCTTTTGTTATTCGAATATTTTGTTTAATAGCGTTTTTATTTAGTTTCAAATTTTCCATTTAATGCTGTATACAAATTTAGCACTAAGTGTTTTGTTGTGGTATAAAACTAATTCAGAAATCCATCTATCTGTATCTGGAGTTATACCATGGTTTTGCTAAGTTTTCAACTTTAAAATAACTTTGGTCTTATATTTTCCCTCCTGAATTTTATTTCTTAATGATATAGAGAGAGCTGCTTAACTTTATAGTTGTAAAATAATAAATTTAATAAATTTTACCAAAACAAACCCTTAAGTATAAATGAATGAAAAAATGTAAGCAGTTACCCCTTTGGCAGAGAGATTAACTCTTTTTATATTTATTGTATATTTATTAACCTTTTATTTTTATTAGCATACATTAATTGTACAAGAGTATTGGGCTCATGACTGTCGCATTGTATATAATGTACTTTGATCACATTCATCTCTACTGTTGAAACTCTTCCTCCCCTCCTGCTGTGAACAATTATAGTTTATGAACAACGGTCACCTAGTGTCTCCGGTATTGTCCCAGTTACCTTTAATTGCCAGCTTAGAGTCACCTGAAAGGGAAGCCTTGCCTGAGGAAATACCTAGGTTATATTAGTCTGTGGCTGTCTCTGTGGGGCATTGTCTTAATAACTGTAGGAGGATCCAGGCCACTGTGGGTAGTGTCACTCACTGGGCAAGTGGGTCTGGGCTATATAAGAAGGCTAGCTAGTCTGGGAGTGGTGGCAATGAATGAATGAATGAATGAACAAATGAATGAATGAATGATAAATAATAAATAAAAATAAATGTCACTGAGCATGAGCCCATGAGTGAACCAGCAAGTAGTGTTTCTACGTGGTTTCTGCTTCAAGCTCCTGTCCTGACCTCGTTCAATGATGGACTGTAACCTGTGAACCCAAACAAACCCTTTCCTCCCCTAAGTTGTCTTTGATCAATGTTTTATCACAGCAACAGAATAAAACTGGAGGAGAAACGGTTCCCCAGCAGTAGACCCTGACACGAGTGTCTAAGAATCTACTATTTGTTTGTATTTGCTTTGCTTTGGGAAGATATCCCAGGAGGTATCAGTAAGGGCAGAGAGTTGATTCATGAGCAGACTCTTCCTTTGGGAAACTGAGGCTCAGTCCTGCTGGGGGAATTCTGAGATGAGGTACAGGGCATGCTGGGAGGTATTCGCCCTGAGGGCTAAGAAGCCAAGAGCACCATCCTCCAACTCCTGCCATCATCTCTGGGTTGTACCTGGGCAAGGCAGTATCTGGGACTTCTGGTCCATCCTGGCAGCTAGAGGCCAGGGTATGCTCTCTGGGGAGAGGTGCTGATGCTCCCACTAGGACACCACCCACATTCACAAGGAGGGTTTGTGCTAAGAGCACAGGAGAAAACTTCCAGCAGGGTCTACAACATCCGTAAACTCCCAATTGTTTATGGGAGACACAACTTTAAAGATGACAGGTTTGGACGTTGTAATGCATTAGGAAAAAATGTAATGTAATTATCTACACAAATGCTGGGCCATGGGCATCTGTAAACTGCTGGACTGAAACATAAAACTGTTCATGGCATGTAAGATCAACATGAGTAAATATGGTAGCAGAATTGAAGGAAATGCAGATAAGGAACATCAAAGCAGACCTCTAGAGCTGGCCTGAAGTGGAGGGTACAGATAGTTCAATTACCAGATGTGAGACTTGGGACCTTCAGTTTTTGTCATTTTAAAAACTTGTGAAGGGGTAAAAGTGCCTGTCTTGACAGTTGTCAAAAGAATTAAATGAAGGCATGCATATAGACAATAGCTGTAGGGTTGTGTTGTATTCAAAACCTGTCCTGAACCATGATAGGTGGTATCCTAGGAAGCTAATGATGCATCAACTTTTGGTCCAAAGTGATAGGGAACAAAGAAAAGAAATGAGCTCAAGCAACAGCCTAACACCTGGGCACACCAGTTAACCACCCACAGGGAAGAAGAGAAGAAAGAATGTTATTGGTGTAAGCCATTGATGTTTAGGGGCTGTTTGTTACACAGCATTATCACAATAGCTGACTATTACAGAATAGAAACCGTTTATGTTAACACATTGTAGGTACTCCATACGTAACAATTGTGTTCTCATTATTGTTGCTTCTGTTGGAAAAGGGAGTGTTAGCCAAGTATATTTAGAACATACCATGTTGAAGATTTAAAATTTTTATTAGCACAGTAAAGGCTTTGACAAGGCCAGTGGTGTTAAAAACAAAGCAAACTTGAAAACTTTTTCCATAATAACCCATTTTTACATTTTTAAGAGCATTTTGGGAAATTTCAACACATTCAAGATGTACTATGTCTCAGGTCCTAAATTAACTACTCTTTCTGTTGCTGTGATAAAATTCTCTGAGAACAAGAAAATCAAGGGAGAGGTTACCGTTCATCACTGTGGGGCAGTCAAGACAGCAGAACTTCAAACAGCTAGTCACATCACATCCACAGTCAAGAGCAGAGAGAGGCGAATGTGAGCACGTGTGCTTGCGCTCCGCTGATTTCCCGTTCTTGCATAGTTCAGAACCCTCTGTCTAGGGAATGGTGCCACCCACAGAGGGTTGGGTCTTCCCACTTCAATTCACATAAGACAGTGCCATACAGACATAGCCACAGGTCAACTCAATGTAGACAGCCCCCTTATCAAAGCTGTCTTCCCAAATGATGCTAGCCTGTGTTGACAAAGCCAACCAGCACGGCTGCCTTACACCGCTTGTCTGATGGATGTGGCAGTTACTTGGTGACAATATGTTGAAGTCCCACCCCTTAACTGAACCACTTGCTCCCCCTTTTCAGCACACTGTGAGCCACTGTGGGGACCCCCTTGCTTCTTGAGGCTCTCCCAAGGCTGAGAACCTGCCAGCCACATACACATTCACAACTGGGAGGGAGGTTGCTCTGTGATTCTCAGAGCTGTTGTTTAATGTGTGAAACAAATTTCCCCCACGCAATCTCATTATTTCCACAATTCTCCATAAGGCGAGTGCCTCCATCAGTCTCGTTTTACAGAGAGAAGCAGACTTGGGAAAGCTGAGTGACTTGAAGTATGGTGTGATGACTGTTCACCTTCTGTTCTTAGGTTGCTTGTGGTGGTATAACAGAGTAACAGAGGGTAATTTATAAAGAACAGAAACCTCTTTCTTCTTGATCTTGGAGGCTGGGGCATCCAAGATCAAGCCATGGAAGGACTGATGTCTAGGAGAGTCCTATGGCCTCTGCTTTCAAGATGACGCCATGCTGGTGTCGCATGCTCTGGAGGGGTAAATGCCATGTTCTCACCTGTGGACCAAGGAAGGTTGAGAGGGAGTTAGTGAGCTCCTTCCAGCCCTTCTGGAAGGTTGCTAATCCCATACAAAATACCTCATACACAAGGAAGGAAGCTTTCATGGAAACCTGATAATCCCAACATCGACTGGAGAGGGACAGCATCTTTTCTCAGACCATCAAGAATGAGGACTGAATTGGCCACCAGAAACGGGCCTCCAGACTCCCAGCTCCACCGGGATCTGAGGTGAAGGCAATGATCCCTGCTGCTTCTTAAGTCCAGTCTCCTGTGGTTTGAGGAGGCAGTATTATGCCAAGTTAAAAAGAAATAGGGCCTGAAGGTGGCTCCATGGGTAAAGTATTTGCTGCACAAACAGAAGGACCTGAGTTCGATCCCCTGTACCTATGTAAAGGTCCGGGCATGGTGCCATGCACCTGTCATCCCAGCTCTAGGAGGCAGAGACAGGAGGATCCCAGGGGCTCTCTGGCCAGCCAGTCCAGCCAATCAATGACCTCCAGTTTTAGTGAGAGACCCTGTCTCAGAAAATAAGGTAAGGAGGGCCATCAGGATGGCTCAGCAGGTAAAGGTGCTTGCTGCCAAGCCTGGTGATCTGAGTTCTATGTCTGGAATTCACGTGGTAGAAGGAGACCAATACCCTCTTTCCTCCACTTCCTGTCCTCTCTGACTTCTTCAAGTTGTCCTCTGACCTCCACATGCATGCCATTGTATGCATAAATACACGCACAAAATAAATTAATAAAAATAAGGTGGGGAGGCAATTGAGGAAGATGTTCCATGTTGACTCCTGGTCTTCACATGTGCACACATATGCATACACCCCCCCCGCAACACACACAAATTACAGTTTGAAGTATCCTTGCTATAGGGCTGGGACATGGGATAGAGACAAACAAAAATAACTACCTGGAGTTTCCAGGAAGTTCTCACCTCTCTCTTTCCTCCTTTTTCCTAAGACCAACAGCTAAAGCTTCAAAAGTCACCCACGATCACAAGGAAACTTTAAGAATGGAAGCCAGTGCCATGAATGACAGAGCAGAATATCACAAGCCATCCAAGACGCTAACAACATCCTTGGGTCATCTATTAGCCTGGGTCCTGAACTCCAGGCCACACGACTGTTTCTGCAGTGCATGGTGGTCCTTGGAATTACAAAACACAGTGACTCTGGGTACCGAGGCCATAGGAGACAAGTCTCCATGGCACTCATTCAACATCTCTTTGACCAGCACCTTATGATGGTTAAAGCTGATTGTCAACTGACTCGAGAGACACCAGGCTAGTGAAGGGAGGCCTCTGAATGTGTCTGTGGGTGAGTTTCCAGACATGGTATATCCTGAGGGCTCTGACCTAATTGATGGACTCATAATATGATGGCATCAGGTGGGAAAAGGTAAAAGGTGGAGCCTAGTTAGAGGAAGCAGTGTCTCTGGGGCTGTATCTCACCCCCTCCCCACCCCCGTGATGGTTAATCTTAACTGTCAATTTGATGAGATCTAGCGTCACTTGGAAGATGAGCCCTGG